GATACTTTGTTCCAACGCACAGTTGAGCCCAGAGGAAAGAGGGTTCAGTCACTGCTAGCTGGAGTGATAACAAGGAGGACTGTATGTGATACCTGGCATTTTAAACTACCTTACCATGCAGCTGTCTGTAGAGAGTTAAGCTAACTAGTCTGTTTAGCCCTCGGTTGGGAGATGATCCAAAACAAGAAGAGTTGTTTGAATAATAACAGTGTAGTGGTGCACGCTATTAAAGGTTAGTTGGTGGATGGTTCTGTCCAACATGGTCATTGCAATCACCAATCAAGAGTTGCATGAGGACATAAATGCTTGTGAAGGGATACAGATTGAGACACATCCCATAATGAGACATTGAAATGAATGCTAGGAATGACAACTTTAGTGTGTGCTGAGAGTTTTCACCAGAACCAGCAGGAAGGACTTCTGTCTAGGTTTTCAACTGTTAGGACAAATCCATCAGTCATGTCCAGCGCTGCACTGAACAAAAATGACCAGTTAACTGAACACTTGAAAATCTGACAATGATGCATACCAGATGTGATCGTCTTTTTTTCCCACCTATTTATCAGCCCTGTTCCTGGTGGACAACCACCATGAGGTGTACCTGTGGCAGGGCTGGTGGCCTCAGGACAGTGAAAGCACTGGCTCGGCCCGAATCCGCTGGGACTCGGACAGGAAGTGTGCCATGGAGACGGTTCTGCAGTACTGCAGAGGTATTCTACTTTCTTCCTAATAAATATACAACCCATCCAGTAGTTGTGGACACTTTTGCCCCCCCGGGATCTTGGAACCCAGATAGATAAATGAAATCTTGGTTGTTAATGAAGGATGTTTGCTTGTTTTAAAATGCATTTCTTGCTTTTTCTCCTCAGAAAAGAATGAGAAGAAGCCTCCCAAAGCATATTTGATCCACGCTGGTCTGGAGCCACTCACCTTCACAAACATGTTCCCCAGCTGGGAGCACAGAGAGGACATCGCTGAGATCACTGAGAGGGTGCGTGGACCAAACGTACTAATATCAACATATGAAGCAAATAGTGCACAAGTCAAAGACTCGCATACAGATCCGTCTGGATATCAGCTCAAAAAAATTATGTTGTTTTGGTTTCTAGGAGGCAGAAATTTATCATCAGATTATTCTGGTGGAGGATGTGTTGGCCCGGCTCTGTAAGACCACATATCCGCTGGCCGATCTCCTAGCTCGGCCGCTGCCTGAGGGAGTGGATCCCCTCCGCCTGGAGGTCTACTTGTCTGATGAGGACTTCCAGGTAAGAATGTCCAGTGTGAAGAGCCTGTGATTTTATTTTAAAGGTTGCTTTGTTTTAGAACGGATAAATGACTTGTCAAAAAGTCTCTAAGAAAACATTTTCCAACTAAGCTGACAACAATCTGTTTTTGTAAAGTTGGTCTGTGTTGGCTTGTGAGTTAGAGTTGGCTTATTTCAGTCAGAAGAACAACAGCCTTGGGTCGATTTAGGTCACCACCATGAATCAAATTACTTGCTGATGTCAGCCCTCCACTTTTAAATTTGGCCAGAAGGGCTTTATTAGCTCTAGCTTCCCTCCAGCTAATGAAGGTCAGCATTAATTTACCTGGTAACTTGGGCATTACGAGCTAACCGCAAACATAAGTTTGTGTCCTCATAGAGTTTCTCTGGACTCTGTTGTGCCGGTCACAACATAGATTGACTACATCGACTGTAGTCTGTAGTTTTAGAATACTAAATGTTAGTATTCACTACTGTAAAGAGAGCACAAGACAGGCACTTAGGGAAGGAGCTGCCTTTTAATTTTCCAGAAAATCTGTCATAGGAGGTGAGGAAGCACCAGGAAGGAACCTCAGTTTGTTTGTTTTTAAGTTGTTTTAAGTTCATTCATACATAGGAAACAAAAGTAGTACAACCTCTATTGAAGTGCTGCATACAGTACATTAAGTAGTTGCTCAGGTAGTTGCTTGTTGTGGTGAACCAAGACAGGATCGCCCCCTAATTTTCCAGCTCAGTCAGCACTTCAGGGAAATTGTCTTTCAAGTCATTGGTTTGGTTTAATGACCCAGAATGTTAGCAACCTTCCCCAGAGCACGAGTACTGCTGTTGCACCTTTTGATTCTCCATCTTATCCTCTCTGTTTCTTTTCCTTATCTGTGACTCTCAGCTGAGGTCATGCATCTTTGCAGCCAGCGTGTAGTTTGACTTTTTTCAAACAGCTGGACAGTGTATGAGTCAAACGTTACTTCTCACTTCTGTTTGTTTTTTAAGGATTTTTCTCTTGTTTATTCCTCCTTTCATTCCTTCTCACTCTCCAACTTCTTCCATTTGTTTTTAATGGTGTCATGTCTCGCTCCTTTTGTCCCTTCATGAACTTACCTATTTCACTGATTCCACCCTCCAGGGTGTGGGGGCTTATGGGAAGGTGAGTTGTCTGATTTGGGATGTTCACTCCTTGTTCAGCATTGTCACTCATTTTCTCTCCTTTCTAACACCGTGTTTCTACTATAGCATGTTTGGTTACAGGCTGTTCACTCACAAATTGAGCCCTATAGTATCTCATACTGAACTGGAGATTGTTATTCATGCATTCATTTCATCACGATTGGACTACTGTAATTCACTGTTTACATGTCTAAACAAAAACTCCCTGGAGCGTCTGCAGATTGTCCAAAATGCTGCAGCAAGGCTTCTGACAAAAACAT